GTGCCACCGTCCGCTTGCGTCGGGGAAATGTAATTTGGCATTTTCACCCGCGCAGTGCAGCGCTTCGTGGCCCCATAGGGAACTCCACCGAAGCCCCCAGTGGGACCGTCCGCATGCGCCAATTTGGCACTTTCACTCACTCAGTAGAGCGCTTCGTGGCCCCATAGGGAGCTCCACCGAAGCCCTCAGTGGGACCGTCCGCATGCGTCCCGGAAACCCAGTTCGGCACACCACTCACGCAGTACAGCGTCCCCCCCCGCCCAGTGCAGCGCTTCGTGGCCCCATAGGGAGCTTCACCGAAGCAGATATTCACAATCACGGTACCCACAACTGCATATGGTTGGGACCTTCGCCAGGAGAATTGCCGGTGTTGGCGTGGCTGCTGGTGTTGGTGCTGGACGCGGTGGTGCTCCAGCTCATCTCAGGCGCTCGAGTTCCTGGTGAGCCTCTGGGCCGATTCGTTTCACCGCGGCTGGTTTGAGTTCGGCCATCAGAATGACCGAACTCTCTGCCGCAGCCCTGAGCGCAGCGATGCCTTGCGCCGCGCGCTCAGCCGTGCGCCAGGGCCAGACCTGCAGTGTTTTGGCGTGTTGGCTTTGATCCCTGTTGACGTCGTGGTCGCGGCTTCCGCTTCGCCTCAGCTTCCTGAAAGGCGCGAGCAGGTGTGGCGAGTTCGCGATGGCTAGAGACGGCTTCTCGGCTGGAAGGTTAGGTTTCTTGAGCCTTTCGCGCGCAGAGAGCGTTGATCTCGCGCGACCGCATCCACATGGGGACGCGGGGATACCTAATTCCATGGCGGTGCTGTGCTGAGCCACGCAGGGCTCGGTTGCTGGACAATGAAGCATCGCGCCTCGCGTATCTGCGTCGTCGCGACTTGTCCGCATAATGAATGCTGAACCTCTCCCTGCTGATTCGCTCCCTACATCGGTGGCGATCGAGGTCGACGAGACAGGCGACGTCCACGTGAAAAAAAATCGTCGCCCCAGATAAAATTGTCATGGACCATCCCGCCCCAGGCGGACAGCGCGCACGTCTCCAGGTTTACGCGGCGCGGCCCAGGAAGCTCGCAGTTGAACGCGACGCCAACGCATTCGCCCCCGAAGATCCTCGCGAGCACGCAGCAGCCACATCAGCCGCGGTGTTCGAGCAGCTCCAAGCATGGGTGGATCACGACGGCTTCTCGCGGCGCCCGCGCCGAGGAGCGCGCGACGTCCTTGAGCGCAGGTGTGTAGGCAAGTGGAAGTGGACACGAGGTAAAAGAGACCCTGCACAACACATGCGGATTACCCAACGCCGACGCTGATCTTATCGCCACATGCGCTGGCACCTCATCGCGATTCTCACAGCGAGCAATCGTCTCTGAGGCGGCCGGGCTAGAATGGACGGACGATGCGCGGGAAGCCAAGGAGGCCCTCTGGATAGGAGTCAGCTATCAAGAAATTGCGGTGGTCGCAGGCGAGGAGGAGCGCGATGTGCACTTCGAGCTATCCCCCAACGCCGTCGCAGTTCTACGAGAGGTATAGCTGGGCATGAAAACTTCGGCCCAGCACTCGAGGTCTTCCGCATGGAGAAACCAGGCGCCGGCTGCAAGGGCGCGCCGAGATGGTTGCCCATCAAACGCACCAAGATCATGAATAACATGTACCCAGCCATCCCCACACCTTGCGAAACCGAGCTTATCGCTGAACCTCAAGATGGCAAATGCGCCCTGCAAGCCACACAACACGCTGCTGACATCAAAGTGGCAGCACTGCCTCACGAGAAGGCCAAACGACGTAAGTGTTTAGAGGATCCCTTCAGTATGGGTGGGCTGGATATCGGCGAAGGGACCTCCACGTGCCGCGGGACGCGACACTCACCCACGCGCGACGGTGGATGCCAGCTGGACCAAATCGATTACTTCCAGGTCGCGAAGCAGATTGTCAATGCTGAGCTCATTGGCAAGGCCAATTCTGAGCTTGCCTCCGAAGGTCTAGCCAAGCTGCACCTCGGCTTGCTCCTGGCCTTAGCCTCAACCCTCATCGCACGGATTGGCTTGCACGTCTACGCGGTAGCACTCCACGCCACGCGGCAGCCGCGACGCGCGGCCACATCGGTAAATGAGTCTTGCATTTGACACGGATGGAGCACAGGCGGTCTTCAAAATGGGGAATTAGCCTCGGCGCCGCGCCAACCAGTCTTAAGCGGCCCCCACTAGAGGTGCCCAAGTTTTTTGCCGGTCACATCGCGGAGCCCGCGGGCACGTGACAGCCCGAGGTGCACGACGAGCGCTTCGCTTGAGATATCGCCACAATCTGGGCGCGAGCAAGGAAATGCAACGCCCTCTGGCCGGTGATCGGGCGGTTCTGGAAGGAGTGCAAGTCGAGCACCTCGCTCGAGACACCCCCACAATCTCGGCGCGAATGGGCAAGTGGAACACGCCCTGGCGGCTTGCCCGCGGCACGCTCGCTCGACACGCACGCTGCATCGCGGTGGCCACGGGGCTTTGGGAGGAGAGGAATTGGCGTGCGCAGACGGGCAGGCGCAACAACCCTCGGCGACTGCCCCCTTGGGGCGCTCTGGCGCCGTGCCTGCTACATCGCGGTGGTCACGGAGCTCTGAAGGGAGAGGAGCCCGGGGTGCAAGACGGGCGCCTCGCTCGAGACACCCCCGCAGTTCTGGGTGGAGAGGGGCCCGAGGTGCCGGCGCGAGCGCCTCGCTCTAGGCGCCCCCACGGTCTGGGCGGGGGCGGGGGCTGCGAACACCCGTGGCCCGGTGGTCAGGGGGCTCTGAGGCGAGAGGGGTCCGAGTTGCAGGAGGAACGCCTAGCTCGAGACACGCCCGCCACCTGTGCGCGAACGGGAATATGAGATGCCCCCTGGCCGCTCACACTGGGGCGCTCGCGTGCCACGTCTGCTGCGTCGCGGCGATCATGGGCGAATCTGGGTACGAGTTGTTCGGGTGAGCGGGTCTGAGTGTGAGTGAGAATGCGCGGTTCAGTCCGAGGGTGCGCATGAATTTGGATGAGTCTGAGTGCGACTGACCAGAGTGTGAGCGGCCGGACGACTGAGTCTGATTGCGACTAAGCTAAGCACTGGTGGGTTTGGGCAACGTTGTTCTGTTTGTGTGCAGGTGTGTCTGTGTGGTCTGAATATGAGTGCGTAATACAATTGTGAGTGGGTCTGAGTTTGCGCGAGACTGAGCGTGAGTGAGTAGGAGTATGAGCGAGTCTGAGTGCGAGTTCTGAGCGCGAGCGAGTTCTGAGGGTGAGTCTGAATACGAGTGATCTGAGTGCGAGTTCTGAGCGCGGGCGAGTCTGAGTGCGTGGGCCCGGGCACGAGCGCGGCGCAGGACGAGCGGGTGCCCGTCAACTCCGAGGGCGCGAACATCGGGGGTTTGAGGTTTCGCGGCGTCGGCGAGACCGATCGCGAGTTCATGTTGGTCAAATTTCGGGGGCGACGACCTCGCGGCTCGAGGTTCCGCGGCGCTGGCGAGGCTCATCGCGAGCGGGCGCCAGTCAAATTTCGAGGGCGCGACCCTCGAGGTTCGAGGTTTCGCGACGTCGACGATACTGATCGCGAGCAGATGCTGGTAAAATTTCATGGGCGCGAACCTCGAGGCTCGAGGGTTCGTGGCGTTGGCGAGACCGATCGTAGTCGGATGCTTGCCAAACTGCGAGGTTCCGAACCTCGAGGCTCGAGGCTTCGTGGCGTTAGCGAGACCGATCGCGAGCGCATGCTGGTCAAACTTCGAGGCCGCGAACCTTGGGGCTCGAGGCTTCTTGGCGCTCACGAGACCGATCGCGAGCGGATGCTGGTCAAACTTTGAGGCCGCGAACTTCGAGGCTCGAGGTTTCATGGCGTTGACGAGACCGATCGCGAGCGGATGCTGGGCAAACTTCGAGGGTGCGAACCTCGAGGCTCGGAGTTTCGTGGCATTTGTGTAGGCTGGAGCCTGCCTGGACGCCTCTCGCCGTCCGGCGTGCTCGGGCAGACGGCAATGGGGGTGCAGAATACGTGGGGGCGTCGAGGGTTGCAGGAAAGAACGTTCCTGCGCTTGGCATCGCTCGGACGCGGGCACATCTTTTCCCTGGCGAGGACCTGCGAGGGGCATCCTCGACCATCGGGCCGACAAGAGCACGCGCGAAACCGAGACATGCACAGGGAGTGGGCGTCCGAGCGACGGCGCGTAAAGGGGCCCGGAACGGCTCAGGTCCAAAGCTGCCACCGCGCGCCCGCAAGGTGCACGACGGGTGCGCGTTCCCTCGCCCCACGTTGAACGCCCCCCCGTCCCCCCGTGAGGGCCCCCAGAGGAGGGGGAGGAGGAGGAGGAGGAGGAGGAGGAGGAGGAGGAGGAGGAGGAGGAGGAGGAGGAGGAGGAGGAGAGGAACGCCTGGGATGCGCCCGAGGACGGGGCCCCCGAGCCCCAATCCGCGCACCGAATCGGTGCTCGCGGAGGAGGAGGAGGAGGAGGAGGAGGAGGAGGAGGCGGAGCGAGGAGGAGCAGGAGGAGGAGGAGGAGGAGGAGGAGGAGCAGGAGGAGGAGGAGGAGAGAGGAGGGAGGAGGGGGAGGAGGGGGAGGAGGGGAGGAGGGGGTAGGAGGAGGGGGAGGAGAGGAGGAGGAGGAGGGGAGGAGAGGAGGAGGAGGAGGAAGGAGAGGAGGAGGAGAGGAGGGAGAGGAGGAGGAGGAGGAGGAGGAGGAGGAGGAGGAGGAGGAGGGGGAGGATGGGGAGGGGAGGAGGAGGAGGAGGAGGAGGAGGAGGGGGAGGAGGAGGAGGAGGAGGAGGAGGAGGAGGAGGAGGAGGAGGGCGGCCCCGGTCTCGACCCCCTCGCGCCGCGGAGGAGGAGCACGGCAGGAGGTTTCCGGACCGTCTGTTCTGTCCTGGTGGCCCCGGGTGGGCTCTGGGGCCGTCAGGGGCGCCTCGGGGCGCGGAGCCAGCCCCTTGGGAGAAGGGGTCCAGATGTTCCAGGGGCTCACTGCCGACAGACGACGGAGCGCCGGATGTGTTGTGTACTCGGCGCGAGGTTGGGACCTTCCTCCTCCTCCTCGTCCTGGTCCTCCTCCTCCTCCCACTTGTGGGGGACGGTGTGCCGCACGAGTGTACGAACCGTTCCATGGGTTTGGCACGGGGGTGTAGCTTCGCCCCGACCGCTGCCATGCCTTAGATCTTTCGTTTTATCAGACTCTGCTGTTTGAAGCCTTTGCTCCCTGCGTTGGAGCGGAAGAAGACGGGTCCTTGATCGCTCAGCCCAGTTGGCCATTGGGCCGTATTTGGAGGGCCCGTCACGGGGGCACTGGCTCGGCGGTTTGAGTCAGGTCCACGCCAGGGACGAAGCTGGCTGCCGTCCTGGCGTTCTGTACACCAGGGGTAGTTCAGCCGAGTCGTCCTTGCGTCGCCTTGTGTGTTTGTTGTGCGTGTGCTTGTGGGCGTTTGCTCGGGTGTCAGGCACCCCAGTTGTGGGGGAAGGTGCGCAGCACGAGTGTTGTGTTCTCTACTCGGGCCTGGCACGGGGGCCCCGATGCTCCGACCGTTGCCTTGCCCAGGTTCCAGTGTTGTTTTCGTCCTGGCCCTCGTTACACCAGTGATGAGTGCTGTATCGTTGGTGCGATGTGCGAGTGCTGCCTGCACGTGTATCAGGCACCCCAAATGTGGGGGAAGGTGCGCTGCACGTGGGTGAGGCTCCTCGTTTTCACGGGGGCGGAGGTTGTCCCCCTACCTTCCCCCCTCTTTTTCCCCGCTTGGGGTATGTTTCCCTGGAGCACGGCCAGTGGCCCTCGGGGGTCCTGGCGACAGTTGCCCAGGCGGGCTCAGTGGGAACCTCTCCCACCCCCCTTTCGCTCAGTGCGGGGGGGGGGCAGCCTCCCTGGGCGCAACGACGCCCAGGGTGGATTTTTCGCCAACGAGCGACCTCTGAGGGTCTCGCCACCCCTCAGTTGTACCGTGGCTGCATGGTGA